TAGTCGTTGTCTGTGTCCCCGTACACGCGTATGTCTGTTCAAGCAGGGTAAGAGTTTACATAGGAAGGTCGACAGGGGAGGGAGATATCATGCAGTCTAGGAGCAAAAATCCTTGGTCCATACCTCCAAGTGGAATGAGTAGACTATATTATTGACTGGAACAGTTCGATCACACTCGGTTGTAGTTAACTGTGCAATTTGATCTGAAAATCTTTCAACTGTAGTTGGTTGTATTTACCTTATTGCTAGACTTTGGTTCTCCCAAGAAGTACTCTAATCCTAACACAGTAATACTGTTCAGATCATGGTTGGTACTCGTTAGCGCAATGAAGTTGTCTGACTGTTTTGAGTAGAAGCCGCTCAGATACACTTGGACATTACCCGTTCGTAACAGTTTACTTTACCACCGATTTCGCGATTATTTATTCTCGTCGGCCAGGGACAGCAGCAATGCTGCTCCAAATCGTGATTTTGCAGTTTCCACTTAGTACTTAGACTCAGCAACAAACACTGCTCACAGCGATTCGATGGTTTGGGCCTAAAGTCTATAGTCAACAACCCAAAGGTCCAAGGTCCGACTCACAGCCCTGTTATCTCCACCTGATGGGATCAAATAAGATCGAGACGCATCGTGGATTGCAGCGTTTTTGGGGCAGGTAAAACCTAATTTTCTTCTGCTACATCGGTTACGCTTCTGGTGATCGAACTGTCTAAAGTTCATTCCAATATGAATCGCGACCGCGTCGAGGTTACACGTTGCAATGTATTCAGACAATGAGTACTTCGAAAAGATGGTCCAATAGGCTATTAACCGTTACGGCAAACCTCAGAGGTTGTGACCTCTTGGTTGAACATTTCTGCATGTTCAAGAAAATGATAAAGGCTTATCTGTCAACAGACAGAGCGAAATGGATCTTAAAAATTTAACTTGATGATGAAAAGCTGTATGAAGAAGGGCCAGATCATGTATAATACCGGAGAACATCGACTCGAATGCACCAGAAAAGCACGATCAGCTAGGATGAACTGCTACAAACCGCTTCTTATGCTATTCATTAACGCTACCTCCTATGCGGTTTTACTCTTTTCAAACTTAATTCATACCAACTGTCTTCTGTTTAAAACCGAGAGCAAAATTATTTACTGGGGTGGCGTCAGAAACTAGCTGCGTAATTTTCCCCACAAGTTGATTAATTCATAATATTGCTCTGTAATTCTTTTCCCTACCTTTGTTCTGCAATGCTAATCATTTTCCCTTCTTTTCTGAAGTTAACAGTCCAGGAACATGTAATTGAATTCAGTGATGGCAATAACTGATTCCCTATGCGAGTTTTGCCTATGGACAACTCGCACAGTTATCTGTCTCTGGCTGACACGCCACACAATTAGATCGTATGATCGGTTTGATCCATTTCCACGCCGATGTAAAAAGCATACCCGTCTATTTTGACATTAACGATATAGTACCACTTTCACATAATTCTTCTTCTTCTTCTACATTCTTCCTTATTTCACTGTTGGCCACGACTGGGCTGATCTCCTGTGGTGACGGATTACAGCTTCCAGATTATAATAGACTTTACCTATGCAAGGCAAATCACCACCAACTGACTGGCATATAAAAAAGTGCCATAATAGAATGATCCGCATGAGGGACTGGGCTGAGGCTTCATGGTCCATAATACATCTACAAAAGCAGCCCTAAAAAGAACAGAACATATGATAAACTGGTGATGGCTCGTATGCTACTATGCCACACCGGCACACGGCCAGTTATTGCATAGAAGTGCGGGCGAAACCTTTCGAGGGAATACCTTGCATGGAAGCAGGTCCCCTGGGGATGGTTCCACGAGTGGCTGTATTACTTTAACTGGACATCTGTTCAAGTCGGCATACGTTATTGTTCCTGGTTTTTAAGTTCTTTAAGGCCTTAATCCTGCCAATTAGTTTCGTACCTGTTTTGGATCCATTGTAAAAAGCGTGAACAAATTGATTATTTTTGTGATCCCATTGCACACATTGATCAGACCACATGGTTGGACTGCACCTCAAATCACCGAGGAATATACCACTTATTTACTTATTTATTTATTTAAAGGGCTAGTGGTCATAATTTACACCCATATACTCCCGGGGTTTATGTTGCTAGATTTACTTGTTGCGATGAAACTAGGTCAGAAAGTGTCGTGAAGTGCAGTATTTCCGGAAGGTAACAAATCACATCCATTCGCTTTAAATGCGGTCCCATCGACCGAGTTGTAGAAGATCTACTTCAAAGCGAATCTTAGTCCTGCTTGAGATTGCCTGTCGCAATATATTCACACAATTGCTGTCTCAAAATAATTCCCACTGAAATGTCGTTTGATTGACCCACGAGTTTCACCTATCTGACTCTCCTTAACCGTTTTAATCAATCCAACATGCTATTCTTTCGTTCGGTCAACGTATGAGCAGCAGGTACCAGCATCTTAGGGGCTGCGGCGCCTATCAAGAGGCGGATCAAGGAAGTTGTCAGGTTAGTAAAGAACAGTGTCTTTAGGAAGACCGATAAAGTTATTCGCCCTAACTGGTCGCATGTCAAGCAGGAGTTAAGAAGTCGAAACAGAAATACAGTTCTGACTCACTGTGGCCACTTAGCTACGTAGTATTGAACTAGCCAGATTGAAGTAACTTCAGAAAGGCGGGGACAATCGACAGTTTGGCGGAATCACGTGGGATTCAAGTGGATTTCGCGTTGATTAGTGCACCTTTGGTCATTCAGAAAGTGCAAACACAAACCAAATGTACACTTGTGTCTGTTTGTGTTCTTTCGACTACCATAGGACTGTAAACTTCTTAGTAATTTCGACTCTCATAGTCGGAACGGACGGAACCATTTTGCTGTAAGGACCAATGAGCAGAATAGCCGACTGAACACCGTTCGGTACAGCCCAAGTGACATAGCGGTCAGTTGCGTACACAGGCGAGCTGAAGCTTGGGATGAAATGTATGAAATGACATCCTGCACGAAGGCATCGAAAAGCATAAAAGAAAAGCTGACCCATGTCAAGTTAGTTTACTGACGCAGCCAGAGAAAAGCATTCCTTCCACAAGTTATTTTTGTCTATTAATTACAAAAGAGTAGTAGGGGTATTCAAATGATGTATAAGGAATTCATAACGTCCATATTCGGTCAGACAATCACACACCCGGAAAAGTACTGTACAGCCATCCCATCCCTTCGGGAATCGCCAGTAATACACGTTCCAGGTGAAGTCTAGGGGGATAGAACCCACCAATTGGCTAGCATCAGTTCGTGGTTAAGATCACTGAGCGTCGCGGGACGGTAACGACAGGCACCACATCACATCTAGTAACCTAACCACATCGGTTGTTACGGTCTCGCCTAATCCAGTGATCTTAGCTACGGACTACTGATAGTCGAATTGCTGGTTCTGGACTCTGCGGGGCCAGATTGGTTGTGTGCTACTGACGAGCCCCAAACGCATGAAACAGCCTTAGATCGTTTATTGTGACGTGCGATACCTACCCGACTGAGTCTAGATGTAATGAATTTAAATCTAGACCATTTAAGTCTCCCAGCTGCTTCTTTTTACTCTTCAAATTCATAATTTAATAGCTCAGCTGGTTAAGGAAGGTACTATAAAGGAATGCGAATGGCAGAATGCCACGTGTTGGCAGTGCCCTCAGGAGAGCTCAGTTGTGGTCGATGCGGATTCAGATGGTAGTAAGAGTATGGTCAATGGAAGATGTTCTGGTACGGTCTGTGAGACGGATTGACACCTCACAGCGATTTCGATGAGAACAGCTCAGCTATGACCTGCGCAGCTTTTGTCTGCACATGGCAACAGTGTTGCTGAGCCTGTCAGAGAGGCGGGTTCAGGCGGTGCTTGCGAGCTCCCCGATACATGATGAACACAAACATATGTAGGCTGTTTCACTGATAACGTTTGTTTTTCTACATAAGATTCTCAGCCGGGACATCTAACGGAACATGTTGAGATTTGCTCTTTTGACCCACACTAAATCACCGTTCCATAGATCTTACCCATTTTGGTAGTACCGAACACCACAAAAAAGATACATTCGCTTCTTATTGGCGCCAGCCAAAAGTAAAGGATATAGACGTACCACAAAATTTACATGGTGTTATGCAGGGTTGACAGTGCTGTATTAACTTTTGCGGTCCATGGTTTGTCGTGCCCCACGAGTTCTAGATAGTTTCGTAATATAAAATATGTGTCGTATCCCATAAAAGTTTCAATGAAACCAACTGAAAATCCATTTTCTTTCTTTTGCAAAGCATTTATATGTAAGCCGGGGAATGTGTTTCAGGGAAAGCGCTTGATCGCGGGTGCAAATGAAACAGGTTTCTTTTCTTTCAGATACCTACTCGTCATCATCGTAATCGACAACAGCAGCACATCCGAAGTGTACACATGCTTCGCTGTCGTACAAATGTGAACAGCTATTAAATGAAGAGTAACACGGAGAGATAGAGAAGACTTAGCGTAAAACCCACATGCTCTAAGCAAACATTCAGGGTCAAGGTGCCTGCCTACACCTTGTCAAAACATACTGTCACCTACAGCTGGCTATCGTGCACAAATAAGGAGGCGTCGATGAGACAGGGTCTCACTACCGTGTATCATAATCAGCCATTACCGCGCAGATAACGCAGCACCAAACACAGTCCGACCAGGAGATGGCGGCAGACGCGCCACAGGTGCCGACTGCAAGCCATGTCCGGTAACTTATCGGGCCAAGCACTAGGCTGGTCGCCAATTTGGGAGGTGAGATGGGCCAACAACAAACAGGTTATTTTTCAGTGGCTTCATTTCTCAAATACTAAGTCAACTTTCGCCCCAGTGGAGCCACGCGACAACCAACGTCCGGTAAATCAACTAAGGCTTTCATCGGTAACCAATGGCAAATTATAGCTGCAGCCACAGATATTCGGTGACATGAATATGATTGAACCAAGCAACGGCGACACTTACCCCGCCAAGTCCACGAGATGTAGCTTAGATCGTCTTAATTTTGATGACCCTGTTGTACGCACTGTGAGGTGTATAGTGAAAATACAGTGCGACCTGGTAGATGCTTCATTCATGGGCGTCTGGAAAGAAAGTTGCACCGGTAGTTTTTAGTTAAGTAAAGCTCACTACTTTCAGCTTTTCAGTAGTCAATTTATACAATACCGGCAACTGACCTCAGCGATCACACGGTTGGTGTCTCCAAGAAAAAGCAGGTTCAACGCTTCATCTATATTGGCAGCAAGGTGCAGAGACAAGTTTTTCAGATGAATAGTACCGGCCTCCGTATCCTCGAACACTGAGATGCGTCTATTTGAATGAAATTGGAATACAGGGATGAGTTTCCAAAGGCGCAGGTGGATTGAACTAATCCACCGTATGTTTAACGACAGGATTTTGATTGTACTATGGATACATTAATTCTCCTATCTCCGATGAGTGAGTGACAGGATAAGACTTGGAAGGCAAATATAGGACTAACCAACAAATACGTCTCGGGTGAATACAGTTAGGAGTCCCCACAATGCAAAAAACAATACCGCTTCCCAAGCTCAGACATCCCAAGATCATTTTTTTGGTAAAGGGACACAAGAAGCTGCTCAATGAATTGAACTGTGTTGGTGCTTAGCGTTTCCTAAATGGAGGGCTCACCCGTGGAACACTTTCATCGAATTCCTTTCAGTTAGTTTCTAACTTGTCTAACCACCAACTTACTTGAAATTGATACTTACCAAGCATTTCCACTGTCTATTCTCTGTTAGCACTTAGATTCTTATTGTGGAGAAATTGGTCCACTATTATAACGCCTGACTGGAACTGAACCCAAGCCGAACGAGAAGCAATAACATCACCGTGCCGGACAAAGCTGAGCAAACGGGACACAATAGGCCAATCACATGAAAGGAAATAGTCATGCCTAGTGAGCGGTCTAGCTCTGAAGGACTGTCGTGCGTGTGCCCAAAACACTCACATGACGAGACAGTCACGAATGTCAAACTATCTGCCTGTTAGCGACTGTGAAGTGCAAGCCAGTTTAACACCTCTCTCCTTTAAACTGAACAGAAGAGCACGCTACGTTTGATTGATATGCTACATCTTGGGATCACTTCGAGTCTCTGCACTGGCGCTCTGATTCGCGTTGAGTATCTTCGATCTGTAGTTACGTTTTCTGTTTGGACGACAGGCTCTTCAGACGGGGTAATTTGATACGTATCCAGCAAGATGTCCAACGGTAGTGAAACTTCCTGTTTTTGGGACGTCCCTTGCACTTACAAACGCGGTCTAATATTATGTACATGTCTAGTAAATATGATGGAATCCACTTGTATTCTGTACAAAAAAGCTTGAAATCCGTTCAACGATACGGCCAGGAATCCAGTGTGATCTTCCGTCACGAAAATTCCTAACGTACACACTATTCGCCAGGTACGAAAACCCCGAGGGTGTGTTCCATGATGGCGATTAAAAGCTAACTCCCTTTTAACGTTGCGTTCTCCCTTGTGTCGCGAGGGATTCAAAGCATCAAGGACAGTTCTGACACGCCTACCGAGAAAAGCTCCGGAGGTGGATTTTTTGAGGTACTGTTGGAATTGGCGTCGTAGGGTAAATCTGCAAACATCTGTCGAATTTTTCTTGTATATTGGTTTCTTCTTCCGTTTTAATTAATGCTTGCTTAAACAGATCGACAAAACGTTCAGCGTTCCCGTTTGACTGTGGATAGCACGCTGGAGTGCGTATGTGTTCGATGCCATGTGAGTTGCAAACATCGACAAATTGTTGAGAAGTGAATTGGGAACCATTGCCGAAACGATCAATTCGGGAACACCGTATTCTGTGATAAGATGGTGCAGGTGTAACAAAACAGCGGAAGTGGTATCGTCTCATCTGAAAAAGTTTAGGCCACTTTGAGTGAGCATCGACTATTACCAGATAGTGGAAACCCTCCAAGGGTTCGGCAAAATCAAAATGAATACGATACCATGGTGCACTTGGAAGGAAGCTAACATTTGACAGTTAACTTTGCTGCTATATCGCAGCTGTTACAGGAACGAACCACATTTTCAAAATCCTGGTCCATGAATGGCCAGTAGGCATAGCTGCGGGCTTTGGATTTTCATACGACTGATTCCCGGGTGACCTTTGTAGAACTGACTGAGAATCTTCTTCTGTAGAATCTTAGGAATAACAAATAGGTCAGATACAATCAAGCAACCATAAATAGTGGTTATGGCGAACTTTCTTTTACGAAACTGCTCACCATAGCCGTCCAAGGAACGTGCATGCCAACCAGTGCTAAGGTACCCCGTAATACGTTGTAACAGGGATCTCTTGCTGTTTCTATTCCAATTGCGTCTGCTGTTACTGGAAGTTGACGTACAGATGTTTGAAATACTTGTCTAATCTTGCGATCTAAGGTAATGCTGGACACAGCAATGTCTTCATCCGGTGTCTTGCACGTGCAATCGGCAATCAATGTGGATAATACGTCAGCAAGACCAAGCGAAGAGGTGTGTTCAAAAGGCAAATCGAAATCGTATGGTGATAGGGGGGTTGCTCAACACTGTAATCTGTTTGCTGTGTGAATGAGGATGTCTCGTTTGGTGCCAAAAAGTGATAGCAAAGGTTTATGGTCTGTGTACAATGTAACTTTGTGTCCATGTACCATCGTATGAAATTTCACTATTTGACTGTAGTTCTTTTCTGCTGCTGTCAGCGCGCGGGAAACATGCATCACAGCCTTTTAATGTCCATTCGGCAACTGATGCAACAAGCCATCACCGATACCGTTTTGCGATGCATCCGCAGCGACAATTATTGGTAATCCTGGGTGGTAATGAGTTAAAAGGAGATCGGAGGACAATATTGGTTTAATGTCATCCAAGACTTTCTGGCACTGCGAGGACCAATGCCACACTGACTCATTTGCCAAAAGTGCATTTAGTGGGGCCCGAAGTTCGTGCATCTGTGGGGAAAGTTGTGATAATAGTTAACTAGACTCAAAAACGACTGCACACCAGCTTCGTTCATGGGGTATGGCATTAACTCATTGGCTTTGAATTTGTTTGTGTTTGGTCGACGACCGGAATTGTCAATAACCCAGCCAAGGTATGCGATACTGAGCATCATAAGATCGCATTTCTTTGGACGTACACGAAATCCATATGAATCTATTCTGGAGAAAACTTCGTTCTTGTGGGTGTAACGATCTTCAGTTGTGGTGCTCACAATTAGTATGTCATCCAAATAAGCCATGACACACTGTAATCCGGATAGCATAGCGTCCATCAGTTGTCAAAAGATCGCTGGAGCACATTTTACTCCGAAAAGTAACCGACTGTAACAATACAATTCTCGATAAGTATTCATAGCGAGAAGTATTTTTTGAGCGCTGCTCGACCACTACTTGCAAGTATGCATCATAAAGATCAATTTTAGAAAGTATTTTTCCTCCTTTAACTTTTGGGAATAAATCCTCGGGAACAGGCAAAGGGTATTGATACGTTTCCAGTACGTTATTTAATCCGGTAGAAAAAGCAGCACAGATACGCAAACCGCCATTAGTCTTTCTGATGACTACAATCGGAGCGGTCCACGTTGAGTACCTCATAGAACTGATGACGTCCATGGACTCCAGTCGATTAATTTCGGCATACCCAGCCTCAACAGCAGCGTAAAGTACTGGTCTTCTAGGACAAAATACTGAACATATACCTGCACGCGGCTACAACAGAGCTTTTATCTTAGAACACATGCTAAGACACGCTGGAAACATATTGTGGTAAATAGAGGCAAATATGATAAAGCTGCTGCACTGCCTTCAAACATTACGGGTGAAACCGAACAGGCAACATCAGTTGGACACATTGAAAAACTATCTTGGTTATCATAAATACTGTTCAAAGGCATGCTCCAGAAATTATGTTTGTCTACCCAATCTATGCCTAACAAGTTCAAATGTCCATAACATGTAATGTAACAAACACCAGTAGCATGCAAATCACGTAGTGCAAACTCACAATCAAACTGTCTAAGAAAGGGTAATTCCAAGCCGGACGTGTATTGAGCGACGTGTGAAGTTTGCACACATGCTGGTTTACCGAGCTTGCACCATGTCGAATCAGAGATTATTGTAATATCGGAAGCCGTGTCTAGTTGAAGCGGGACAGAAACACCTTTTATCACAATCGTAACATACTTACGTAGTGACTGATAGTTCGGGCTAGTGGTCGCAAACACCACATTTGAAATGGAACGTTGAAAACTTGGTTTTGGAGAAGGTTCCTGACGGTCTTCCAGAGGCTCCCTGCAAACATCTGGTTTCCATATGTCCAAGGACGCTTGCATATATATTGTTTGAATCCACAAAATCGAGCGAAATGCCGCTGACCACAATGCCAACAAGCACTAGGCGGACAGTCGCGGTGTGCGAAGTCGGAGAGACGTACTGAATAGTGTGAACATACAACACACAAGACTCGTTATGCAGCTGGATCGTTTCTGTGTCACGCATCAGTGTCAATATACTTTCACATTCCGGTACTAGCTCCTGTAGTGAGACTTTTGGGTTGGACTCCAGCCGAGATAACAAACTTGTTCGAATCGCCGCATCTTTCGGAGAACGTAATCCACAAACAAAATTAAGCGTCTGAAAGTGATCACTTGTGAGTGTGCTAAGCTGTAAAAGTTCACATTCCCTGTTAGCAATGGCTGCATAAGTCACAAAATCATCCTCCTGGTGTTTAATAAATTAAAAACATCGGAAATGTGTGTTGGAAAGTGAAGTTTTAGGGCCGAAAATGCTGATCAAGTGTTTCACAGTGTCGTCCAATGAGATATCGCGTGGGTTCTTGGGTGGAATGTAAGTAATGTACTTTTCAAACTCTTGTACACCCATTTTCCTCAATGAAGACGTACCTGAGCTGCATCGCCTAGCTCACGCTCATCAATTTTAACAACTCTTCATAGCGGCGAAACCATGTTTGGAAAGTAAGGTCATCGTCCAATTGGTAATGAAATTCTGCCATAATGTGCGCCAGTTTGTCTGCATTGGAAATCTTTGAATCCTTAGATGCTGACTGTAGTGACATTCGTGTTGTCAATGTTTCAATTAAGCGCTGCTGTGACGCCTCAAACTGTGCTTGCTGTCTGGACGGCATTTCTTGAAGAAATTCCAAAGGGACCGTCATAGTTCACCATCACTAGTCTATTATAACCCCTGACTGTAACTGAACCAACTCCGAATGTGAAGCGAGAACCCCACCGTGCTAGACAAGCTGAATTCAACAAATGACAAAGCTGAGCAACCGGGACGCAAAAGACCATTAGATGAATAGGCCAACCATATGAAAGGACATAGTCATGAATAGTGAGCGGTCTAGCTCTGAACGACTGTCGTGCGTGTGTCCAACACAGTCACTTGATGAGTCAGTCAAAAATGTCAAACTATCTGGCTGTTAGCGACTGCGAAGCGCCAGCCCGTCTAACGCTAACCCACTGACTCCATTGCTCATTCATGTTCCTATCACATAGGTGGACGATAAACATGCAGGTTTAGTCACAGGATTCGTATTTCAGACAACAGTCAGCATATTTGGAATGACATAAACTCACGGTAACTCCTCCAGTCTATTTTTAGTCTCACATCTTGCATCCAATAAGTCGTAACCATTGTCGTTGTAAATTTCCAGATAAGAAATCTTCATGGTAAAATCTGTATCCACAAGCTGGAAGTAAGATGCGTTCCGAACATGAACGAAATGGTAACAAAGTTTAACGTTGAAAATGGAAAACAGGGATTTACTAACCGCGTAGGACAAGCAATAAAAGGCAAATAACCTTTTATTTGAAAAACCAAATTACGCTCCCTTACTGATCCCAATGGAAGTTTTGCCACACAAAACTGATCCATTGTTTCCACTCGTCGCAACAATCACATACTTTTACATTGGTGTACCGTATATGAATCAATTAGATTTGTAGGTATTGACGTTATTATTATTATACACGTCAGCTAGAGGTGTAAATCACCCCAGCTACTGTGATTCGATACATAAAAGAAAAAATGAAACTAAATGCAACAGTTGCATGCTAGCTGAGTCATCAACAACCGATAGGCGTCGTTCCTGATAGCTACCAGCCGGCTCCTAGGCAACAAAATAGTTATCATGTAAAATTATCTTATGCTACGAAATGAGATCTTGTTTGGAGGGGACGCTAAAAGGGATGCAGAAGGACAATGAAACTTAGCAGAAACGTCAATGAGGCCGACTCCTAGCCACGTCACCAAGTGTATCTAGTTAAGCGTGTTCATCGTATTTTGGACGCCAACCAGGGATCCGTGCCGATCCAACCGAGGCCAGCCCGAACTGAGGGCCTTCATTCCTCACGACCAAGTCATCGCTAGGCCACCCCTCCTCTTCAGCCATCCACATCCCCGGTGAGCAAACAACGCACGTCACGAGGGCCGGTGGGCTGACATGCACAACACGTGGCCGAGCCATCGGAGCCTGGTGCGTGAAATAACGGTGCTTAGCGGTTCATTTCCTTTTCCAGTGATGTAAACAAGGCGTCGAACACACTCGTTGCTCAAGCGGTGTTCCCACCGGATGTGAGCAAAACTGTGAAGGCACCGATGGTCGAACGTAACTAGCCTCTTTATATCCGTTGATCTAAGGGGCCAGGTTACGCAATCGTACAGTAGGGTCAAACATACCGCTGCATTGTACACTCTAGCCTTCAGGGCGAGAGTAATGTCGCGCCGCCGCCATAGGTGGCGAAGACTGGCAAAAACACCTCGAGCTCTTGCTGTAAAGTACGTGATCTCATCTTCTATCCAAAAGTCGTTGAAACAACTACTAGGTCGTTGAGTTTCTGAATGACTTCTAGCTGATCCCCCCCAAGGGTCAGCGCAGGACGGGATCGCTGCCAATCATGGAGGAAAGCTTTGCACTTCGATGGTGCAAAGCGAAGCCCGAAGCGACTGATAACCAGTACTAACCAGTCCAGCGCAGCTTGGCACGTCTGGGAGCTGTCACAGATGAGGACAATACCGTCAGCATACTCCAAATCAAGACGTCGTTCTCCTGGGAGTAGCTTCACACCTTCTAATTCATGTTCCTGTCTAATTCGTGTCCTGTAAGCGCTATCTCCATGACTTGGACAATAGCGAAGTTGAAGAGGAAAGGTGACAACGGGCACCCTTGTCCAATACCGCTGGATATATTGAAGGGCGGCGACAGCTTGCCGTAAGCTCACCCTCTGCTCGTGCTACGCGTATAGCGCGCGGTTAATTTGTAAATTTACCTCCGGCTCACCTTTCCTGAATAGACAGTCTCAAAGGGCACGTCGATGAACCGAATCGAGGGCAGATTTGATGTCACGGAACACGACTAGTTGGGGCGGCCAATATATGTGACGGTGCTCCAACAATTGGCGCAAAGTGACGATGTGGTCGATGCAGCTACGACCCCGACGAAACCCGACTTTCACCTCACGAATCTGGCATTCAAAAGCGCCAGTCAGTCTGTGAAGCATTACAGAGGCAAGTGATGTCGAGGTGATGGGAATCAAACTGATTCCTCTATGGTTGTCGCATTCCGAACGCGAGCTTGCTTTGAAGATCGAAAGTATAACGGAGCGGCTGCAGTCGGTTGATAGAGATTCCTGCTCTGTTTTACTAGTAATTCATGTAAATCATCAACAAATGCAGGGCCCCGGAAATTGAAGAGGGCTGGATGAAGATCATCTGGGCCCGCGGCCTTGTTCAACTTCAACAGTCCGATCTCACATTCGAATTCTAAGTGAGAGGGCGGATCCAAATGGAGTGCCCACGGAGCAGCGTGATCACTGACCAGTGAGGAGTCGAACAATTCCGGCCCATTAAATTGCTTTTCACAATGCTCAGCTCAAAGCTCCAAACGGTTTGACAAGCTGTGGCTAGGCTATCCAGTCTCGTAATAATCTGGTTCGCTAACACCAGGTCTGCTGCTGCCCGTTTCCCGTACCAGACGGAATAAGGTAACATGGTTACCAAGAGCAGCGGCCATTTCCATCTCTGATGCGCGATGAGACCACCTGGGTTCGCGGTCGTTTCTCAGGCTAGCACGGAGTTTTGTCCGGAGCTCTTTGCGAATTTCTTTGTATTCGATTCCAGCCGAAATATGCCGGCGAGCATCGATAAGTTCCAGAGACCTCGAAGAGACCCAATGTCCACGTTGGCTATTAGACGTACCACATGAGGATTTTCCTGCTGCTAGTAGGATCCGGCGAATATGAGACCAGTGAGCTTCAACTGCACCCAGTGAGCGTTTATCCAACTCGCATGTCAGCGTAATCTGATAGGCATTCAGAACAGCTGGCTTCGCCAGTTGACTGGTGTCAATGCGTTCACAACGTCGTCGTGGGCGTCCGCCAAAATACATCCGCAGGTCAGCACATTCAAGTGCATTGTCGGTGTCCACAAATGTGCTCCAAATCGAGTGACAGTTCTGGTTGCAGCTTCTCCATCGGTAACTGACTGCAATGTGATCGATCTGCGTCCAAGGCTGGTTCTAGGCTGGTGGGCCCTAAGTCACCCTCCTGCGGGTGCTGTGTCGGAAGTTAGTGCTCGCAAGAAATAAGCGGGCGTTTTTGCATAAATGAAGTAACCGCTCACCATTATCATTACGGGAGCCTATACCATGTTGCCCCCCAGATGCAGTTCATCAATGGACAACTTTCCTACCTGTGCGTACACATCCTCCGCCAGCATAACAGTGTCCGTGCTTCTTCTGTGGTGCAGGAGCTCGGTCAGTTGGCGGTAGAAGTCGTTTTTTACCGAGTCATCGCTAAATTAATACGTTGCACGCTTCGCTTCTCATGAACTAACCGCCACGATGTTACAAGTATCGAAGCATCGTCTTCTTTTGGCTTTGCTTCCAGAGATGGACAATTTGCTTGTTCGTCTTCTGGACACTGGCTATAGTCGCACCCGGTCAAAATAACATCAAAGCGCTCATCCGTCTTCCAGCTCTTTCTAAAGTATACTAGCCCCCTTTCAATCTCGTAACTACACGGATTCAAGTTATATTTATTGGATAGTTAAAGACACACTCTGTCGCCTGCCTCAACCCCAAAATCCGTTGTCGCTTCATTATGAAATTTCGTTTAGCAGCCGCTTTACGCAGGTTGAGTTTAACTAGATACAACCGAGTGCGCAGCGTTCGCCCTTTCCGTAATTCACAGAGCGAAAGATCAGTGGTAGCTTGTGGTGTAATGCCGTACTGCAGTAGGAAATTGTCCATTTGGGTTTGTAAAGTTCCGGACTGTTGTTTGGACACAGCTTGCATAATTATCGCAGCCGCCCTCTCGGCCAGATCATCAGACGGAGGGCCCACAGAACCTGCCCCATTCTATTTGGGCGCAAGCATTGTGCAAAATGCTTACTGGTAAATGCCGAACCCCAACATGAAACGGCTGTACATGGTACACCATGCGTAGCGAAGATGATCCTTATGATGCGCACGATGGTCGGTCTAGTCATTGATGCGGTTGTCCGATCTTCGATCCATTTGGAATGTGCGCCCACTACAACAAGCATTACGGAGTCGTCGGAGGGTACATGGAAATCAATGTGTATTCTGTCCCACGGGCTATAGAGCCAGGGCTACAGAAAGAGCGACTCAGACAATGGGGATGAGTTATCCTCTTTGCGCTAACGCACAGATATTGTTGATAACTATGGTCTTCATCTCCGAGTCAAGTTGATGATTTATCTCGAGTTTCATTGGCTCATTATGCTGTTTGGGGAGAGGACTCGAGACCACAAAGTATAGAACAATATACGAGTCTTAGTTCGGATTTTTGAGAGTGGAATGACTTTAAACGACTGTCCATCGTATCTTGTGAGGCTCTCAGGAATACGGCAGTTCAGAGCCACATTGCGTCTCCCATTTTTTCCACTGGCAAATCAAACAACCATGAGATAATTTGTACTAGTTCTCCCAAAGTTAACAGGTGGCTTGGAACTTCATGTAATGCAAGACGGCTGAGCGTGTAAACACACTAATTCCATGTACCTGGAAGATAGTTCCACTGATACTGATAGTCAGCGAGCAGTAAGTCCAACGAAGTGTCCGGGGTGATGTCATTTGGTGTATCATATTTGATTCGCTTGAAATTCCCAATGGTAGCTTGTGACCTGTGTGAATTTCAAAATTCTACCCGGGTAGATATTGGTGATAAGGGACAACACTTGATACGACTACCAAAGATTGTTTGTGGGTTTGGGAGTAGTTTCGATTGGCAACCTAGGATAGGATCTGAGGAAAAAATTCAGCCGGTTTGTTTACTTCATTTTCGTCAGGTTTTAACAAGGCGGCAACCAAATCCATAGAAGGATGTATCACATTTCAAGGCCATTACAATGCTATAACGTCTCGTATATGTTCGCCAATTGTTACCCAGATAACCAGGAGATCGTTCAAGTAGACGAAAACTTTACGTAGGTCTAATATGAGATTGGCTATATTTCGCTAGATAATGGTCGGAGCCGAGCGAACGGCAAATAGTAGTCCGTTATACCTAAAGGAACCCCGGTGCGCAGTGAATGGTATACTTGTTCTGAGGTTTTCATGTGGTTCGAGCTGATGTTAGGCGTGACGAGGTCTAAGGTCAAAACATATCTGCTGGTAGCGACCTTAATGTAAACGTTCTCTATTTTTAGAACGAGATATTTTTCAGGTAA